CAGTAATTGCACTACTGGACATTTACCCAAAGAATATGAAAACACTAATTCAAAAGGACATAATGTATCCCTATGTTAATTGCAGCATTATTTACCATAACAAAACTATGGTAGCAACCCAAGTGTCCATCAATAGATGACTCGATTAAAAAAAGATGTGGCATATATACACAATGGAATATTATTTAGCCACTAAAAAGGAATGAAATCTTGCCTATTGCAACAACATGGATAGATCTAGAGAATATAATGTTAAGCAAAATAAGCCAGTCAGAGAAAGACACATACCATGTGATTTCACTCAATATGTAAAAGAGGCAAACCAAAAAGAGGAGATCAACCAAAAACCAGACTCTTAACTACAGAGCACAAACTGGTGGTTATCAGAAGGGATGAGTGAAATAGGTGAAGGGGGTTAACTATATGCTTATCTTGATGAGCACTGAGTAATGTATAGAAATGTTGAATCACTATATTGTACACCTGAAACTAATTTAACACTCTATGTTAACTATACTGCAATTAAAAATTTTAAAATGGCCTGAATAGTTGGATTATTGTTATTAATTCATTTTATCGTGGTGATGTTGTCAGTCCCTTCCTTTCCCCCACTAAGAATCACCACTATGTTTGAGGTAATCCTGACCAAGCAGAATTACATTAAGGGTCTTAGTACTACAAGTATGAGGAGTCTGTTATGAGTGCTGTTGCCCCCAATGGATTATTTGTGCTGGTAGGAAGAGCGCAGGGGGCTCTTAGGTCATTGTTTTCCTACCATGACATCTACACTGACCGATACCATAGAACTGCTTTGTCCATTTCTGGTCTCGATCTCCATCGGCACTGCGTCTCAACTCCACCTGACTGTCACTGTTGACTGGGAAGCTTGATCCTGCTCCCAGAACTCTCAGCACTGGATGAAAGATGAGTCAGCCACGATTATGCACCCCAGGTTATTCTCTGGTACTAATGTGTCCTGCATTTGAGGCCCTATCTGGAATCTTCTCAAAGTGCTGAATTCTGCCAAAAAGAAATCCACATTTTTTTCCTGGGATCTACCCACCTTGGGAAGTCACAATATTATTAAGTCTAATTCTAACTTCCTTCTGCCACATCTCCAATGTTAAAGTCCTAGCATGCCTGCTACCTGAACTGGCTCAGGTACCTCATATTCTGATAATGTGCCTCTCTTACCACAAATGCAGTATTTTGTCACCTTCTCCAGGTGATCTGGGTTGTCGGAGAAGCAGATGCCAAGACCAGATCAACTATGCAAAGGTTTCTTAAAGAAATGCTAGGGAGACAATACGGGGAGGGAGCCAGAGAAGGCTGGGAGAGTCAGCCTCCAGGTCAATGCAAGTCTGACCTGGAGTGGAGGAATGAGGGAGAAAAGGTGGGTGGAAACATTTTAGGCTGTCACAGAGTCTAAGGATGCTTGGAAAATCATTGAGGAGTCTCCAAGCTGAAGTTTCAGTCAGAGGAATCCTTGTCCCCCAAAATGGCCGGTAGGTGCAAGAGCTTCCCACAGGGATAGATTCCACAGCCCAGCAGCTGGAGCTCTCCTCACTGTACTGGAAGGTCTGCCAGGAGAGTTTTGTTTTTTTTTTAAGATTTTTATTTATGTATTTATTTGACAGAGAGAGAGAGAGATCACAAGTAGGCAGAGATGCAGGCCGAGAGAGAGGGGGAAGCAGGATCCTCTCTGAGCAGAGAGCCCAATGTGGGGCTCCATCCCAGGACCCTGGGATCATGACCTGAGCCAAAGGCAGAGGCTTAACCCACTGAGCCACTCAGGCACACATGCCGGAAAAGTTCTGATGACTGCCATACTCTCCTTCATTACAAAGTTTTCATTAATATGTTTTAGTACTACATTGTTTGATTGAATGTAAAATTGTTAAAGTGTTCTTTTTCATTGTATCTTTTCATTATCTTAATGTAGTGACTATTATGATTAATAACTTATGCATTATCTTCTAGTGTATTGAATATCATTTATACTTCCCCTATAATTTAGTAGTATCTTAGCTCTTCTATTTTTAAACTATAAGTTGGTTTTGCTTTCAAATATAGAATGAGACCTTTTTTTTGAGAGGTGAATTTTATCTTTTTAAGAATGTCTGAAATCCACTCTTCTGAATTTTCTCCCTCATATACTTGTTCTTCTGTTTTGCTTTAACAATTATGCCTTTTTATACGTAGACTGAATTTACATGTACTATTCTTCTGAAATGGGTTAGATAGCTTAATTTAACTCAACTCTACAAGGTTAATTAGTGTTTTTATCTGTATTTATATTAAACATCCAAAATAGAAACTTTGGACTCCTTTCTCCGACACAAAGTTTTACACTAATTGTTCATGTCTTAATGTGTGTTTTGTTCATTCTCTTCCTTGATTTCATATATGGATGTGAGTCCAGCATTATATTAATCATGACATCTACCTCATAGTTGTTAGAGTTTTCAGTTAAATCTTTTCAGCATGATTTTCCCATACAGTAAGCTGTTAAAAATAACTTAAATGATTAACTTAGAGATGAGATATGTGGTCAAAAAATCTCTCTCTGGCCTTTGGACCTATAAAATAACATTCTGCCTTTTTTCCTCAAATGATTGATCACTCAACCAGAAAAAAAAAAAAAAGGTCTTTGGGGGAATAGATATTCTTTAAGAACTTACAAATACTTTCTTATTCAGGATCTTATGATTTAGGTTCTAAACGTTGTAGCCATCCTACTCTGTAATCTTTTGAATATTATCAGTTCTTTTTTAGATTCACGTATTATCATTTCACCGCCACTGAAATGAAAGGTGGAAGCAAATAAATCATCCATCCTTTTTTCTGTTATTAGCCCCTATGTTTTTCATTGTGAAGGATAGAACCCAACCTGAACTAACTTGGTCAGAAAAGGAGACTTATTTCTCCATGTAACTGCAAGAAAGGACGCAGGGCAGGAGTATAACAGTGATCATTTTCTCTCCACCTTTCATCACAGCTTCTTTCTAATGTTGGCCTCATGATAATATGCCAACAGTCCTCTACCACATCGGTGGTGACATCTCTAGGGATCCTTGTTCTTTAATTCCCACCACTGAAGAAGGAATGATTCTCTTTCTCCTCATGTCCAGTTGAAAAATGCCAAGAAAGGGCTGTGATTGGTCTTGCCTGGGTCAGGGATATACTTACATCATCAGTTACAACTGGGGTGAGTTGGTGGTCTTTAAGTGATTGGCTCTATTTGGGGTAGGAGCTTAACTTTAGGACCATCATTTGTGGTCAGGAGCATAGAGTCGAAAAGAAAATTGCATATCCTTTAAGCCAAATGTTTGCAAAAGGGAAAGAACATTTCCCAGGAGAGGGGTTGCTGCCCCAGTGAAGGGAGGGAGGAGTTTTAGGCAAAGAAAACAATCCCTATTCATTACAATAACTTTTTCTGATTTGAAACCACCTATTCAAGAATTCTCTTGAAACCCAAGGCAGATTATAATACACCATTCTCAAATTCAGCCACTTTTATTACTTCATTTTAGTCCAATTAGAATTTGACTACATCAGGTTTCATTTCATAGTCTATCCCATTAACTGAGATTTTCAGGATTAACAATGTTTTTCTTTTAAATATTAAAAAATAATTCTTAAAACAACAAATATGATAGCTAATGTAAAGTAAAATGTGATTTTCTGGACTTTGCCCACTCCCCCAAATCCATGGTCATATCCTAACACACACAAGTGCATGCATCTCCCCATCAACACACAGCAATTCTTTTAAGAAAAATATATAATGATGTTTTGCAATTTGCTTTTTAAATTTATTTTAAAGTACTCAATTTTAGGGGCGCCTGGGTAACTCAGTGGGTTAAAGCCTCTGGCTTTTGCTCAGGTCATGATCCCAGGGTCCTGGGATCGAGCCCCGCATCAGGCTCTCTGCTCTGCAGGGAGCCCGCTTCCCCCTCTCCCTCTCTGTCTTCCTCTCCTCCTACTTGTGATCTCTGTCTGTCACATAAATAAATAAAATCTTTAAAGAAAAATAAAGTACTCAATTTTATACATCACTATACATAACATTCCCTCCTATTTAATAACAACATAATATTCCATTGTTTGGATATACATAATTTGTTTAATCAATCCCTTTTTAGTGGGCATTAAAGTTTCTTCTAGCTTTGTTATTTCAAAGCAAAGGATATGTACATTTCCTACTGGAGTGTACATATTCTTGTCTATAAATCACTGTACCCTTGTGTATAGTATAACCAGAAAAACGATTCCTAGAAATGGATAGCTGGGTCAAAGAGTACGCCAACAATATTCTTAATTACTCCATTATAGTTAATCATTAAGTTACTGTCTATTTCATTCTAACCTGTCCTAGATTAACAACTGCTACAATTCCTATCATTTCTTTGGCAATAGATCTTTTCCATTCTTTACATTCTGATCATGATTTTTGAAGTTATTCCATTACAGAGAAATTAGAAATTTTTTCTGGGCTCTTATGAAATTATTTTATTGTGCTAGAATATTTTTCTTGCCCCACTTTTTCATATCTACTATCAGTTTTAGATATTGATGCTTTCATTCATTGAAGTTTTGTGTCAGAATTTTATTTATTTTTTTTTAAGATTTTATTTATTTACTTGACAGACAGAGATCACAAGTAGGCAGAGAGGGAGAGAGGTGGAAGCAGGCTCACTGCCGGGCAGAGAGACCAATGTGGGACTCGATCCCAGGACCCTGAGATCATGACCTGAGCTGAAGGCAGAGGCTTTAAACCACTAAGCCACCCAGGCTCCCCTTGTATCAGAATTTTACTGTGTTAGATAAAGGAATCTGTGACCAGTTAGTCTGCCATTTTTAATGATGTCTCCAATTAAGCATTTTAAAAAATATATTCCAAAACACCACCTATCTGAAATATATCATTGTATTTTCCAGGGAGCCGAAGTTTTAAGTTCTTTATCATCAAAAGTTTTTCTATTTCATTTAAACATTAGGGATAAAAACAAGTCTCAACGGATCCTACTGAGCACACCTGAATGTGATTCTGGTCCCTTGAGACCACTGTTGGGAACCTCGTGGTCATCGGGATATAATTTCTGAGAAGGTTTGTCCCTCATGAATGAATCCGTATCTTGCTGTCTTCTGTCCTTGGATTGGCTCCATGTGCTTCTTCTCCCCAACATGCTTCTCCAATGTGAACTAGCACTGCTCAGTGCTTTCAGTGGCCTCCATATCTACTTTCTGTGAGTTAACCACTTTATTAAGCTTAATATAATTGCCTTCAATAAACAAATAGATTAAAGGAAGTCTGATGAGCTTCTGTTGAGTAAAATGCCTAGGCTGTATTTTGTACATGGACTTTGGGACATCTATTTTGCCTGCTTGATGGCTTATTTTGCTATTTCCTGACCCTAGCCAGATTCTGGAATGGTGAAGTGATTCTATAGTTGAATTTTGGATGAATAAGACCATATGGTGTATATTACTTGGCACACATAGAGAATTAAGATTATAGAGTATCCTAAACGCAGAATTTTTTTAAAGTGCCAGAATATCAAAGAAGGATAAAACCCTTCTCAAATATTAAAGCATGAAAATATAATACACTCACATGGCTTAAAATTTTAAAAATACTTTAAAACTTTTTTCTCCCCATCTGTTCCCAGCCACCTGAGTCCCCACTCCCCAACAGGCAACCCATGTTATCAATGTTCTATTGTAGTTTATAGAAGTATTTTAAGCATATATATGCAAATTCTCACAAACTAATTTTTCTTTTTTGTACAAACAGCAGTGTATTAAACACATGTCCTACACCTGGCAAAATATCTTGCCCATCATTATATATCCATACATAAGGGATCACTCTTTTTGCTTTTCCTTTTTCAGTGGCTCCAGATTATTCTACCATATGGATGTGCCGTTGTTTATTTTGCTGTTTCCCCACTGATCAATATTTAAGTTGTTTTCAATCTGTTGTTTTTACAACCAATGACACACTTTAATAACCAAATACATACATCATATATCTGTGCCAGAATATGTGAATGACAGTTCCTAGAGGAGGAATCGCTAAGGCAAAGGGTATAAAAGCACTTGTAACTTTGATAGATAATATGAAACTGCCCTTTATGCAGTTATTTCATTTTATACTACCTGTTTTCCCCTGGTGTGTTATAAAACATTTTGATATTTGTCAATTTAATAAGTGGGAATGGCATTTTAATGTCATTTTAAACCACACTGATCTCATGAGCAAAGATGATGATATTCACATATGTTCTTATCTTTTGCCCATCTTCTCTATTTTATTGATTTGTAGGAGCTCTGTATACACTAGGCAAATCCATCTTTCATCCCAGATATATTTCTCAGTTTGTCAAATGTCTATTTACTTTGTTTGGGTGGTATTAACCACACTGTTTTTTAAAAAGTTCTTCATAAAGTCAGGCTTGTCAGTCTTTTCTTTTTTGACTTCTATGCTTCCGTCATGCTTAGAAAGGTCTTATTCATTCCTATATACGTTCTTTTATTTCCTATTTAAGTTTATGGCTTATTTTTTTTTAAAGATTTTATTTATTTATTTGACAGACAGAGATCACAAGTAGGCAGAGAGAGAAAGAGGAGGAAGCAGGCTCCCTGCTGAGCAGAGAGCCTGATGTGGGGCTCGATCCCAGGACCCTGGGATCATAACCTGAGCTGAAGGCAGAGGCTTTAATCCACTGAGCCACCCAGGCACCCCTTAAGTTTATGGTTTAAATTAAACCTTTGACCCACTTAAAATTTATCCTGGTGTGATACAGACAGGAATGGATTCAACTTAATTTTTTCCCTAGTTGGTCACCTAGTTGTCTCCCCACATGTTGAATAATCAATTTTTCTCAAAGACAATACCTGATTATTTTAATTGTAGCTATATAATCTGTTTTACAGGGTTATTTCCTCCTTACTTTTCTCCTTCAGAATGTTTTTGGCTATATTTTCTTGCTTATTTTCCATGTACAAACTTTAATCAGCTTGTCTAGCTTAAAAATGATTGATTTTTTAATTGAAATTGTATAATTTATATGGATAAACTTATAGGAGAATTGATATCCTTATATTGCTGATTCCACCTTTCCATGTGTTCACATTTCTTTTGTGTTTCTCAGGAGCATTTTGAAGTTTTCTTTATGTAGATCTTGAACTTCTTAGTTTTATTCTTAGTAATGTGTCGTAGTTCTTTGTTGTTGTAGCTTTTGTAAATGGGGTCCTTTTCCTCCATTACTTCTTTTAGTTGGATCTTTTTTTTTTATGTGTGAAGATTTTAATTTCTGAGTATGTTTCACTACCCAGCCACATTATTGAGTTATCTTACTGTTTTTTTTTTAGTTTATTTTCTTGAGTTTTCCAGATATACAATCAAATTATTTGAAATTATAGTTAATTTCGTCTTCTCCTCCTTTCTAATATTTTACACCTGCATTTTTTCTCCTATCTAAGTGCATTGGCTAACATGCCAGAAGTTTTAATTCATTTACTCAGTCTTAGAGAAGTATGCATTTAAACTGAAGATCTGTCATTTCATGAAATACTTAACCTGCAATCCATTCCTTCACCAGAACTACAGAGAAGGCTGAACTCTAGGAAGAGGGTCTGAGCAAAAAGAAAATCTGGACAAGGGAAGCCCTGCATAAACTCTGAGCCAATAAGCAAGAATCCCTTGGAACCAAACACTTTGCCTTTAGGGAGGCCAAAGACATACTGATGTCTTTGCTGACCTCTTCTGGCTAATGTGAAATCAGTCAGAAGATGGCAGACTTGATTGTTTCTCCTAAGGGTTTTCCTGGACTGTCTGCCTGAAAAGATTTATCAGGATCCTGAAAGTAAATTTCATACTTTTCTTTAATCTCCCTGCCTCTTTCTTTTCTTCCCTCTCTATTATAGAACTTCCAAATCCTTAGTCCCCTTTTCCTCCTTCAGATTTTTGGCTCTTCCACACCCCTGTATCCACAAGTATTATCTGTAACTATTTCTTAACTCCAAACTCATGCAATCCTTGGCTTAGGGCAATTGGGAAGTCCATGGTCACCTTGGTTGGAGCAGTTTCTCTGGGCAATGGGGGAGGAGAATCCATCTTGCTGTGGGTAAAGAAATGAATGGAAAGTATGGAAGAAACAACAATGCTCATATTCCTATTTCAGGAAACTTGGCGATAAAGGAAAGATAAGATTGAATGGTAACTGGGGCTCCTGGGTGTCTCAGTCATTAAGCATCTGCCTTTGGCTCAGGTCATGATCCCAGGGTCCTGAGATCGAGCCCCACATCAGGCTCCCTGCTCAGGGGGGAGCCTGTTTCTCCCCTCTCCCACTCCTCCTGCTTGTGTTCCCTCTCTTGCTGTGTCTCTTTCTGTCAAATAAATAAAACCTTTTTTAAAAAGATTGAATGGTAACTTAATGATTAAGAAAGAATCAGAAGTATATTCATTCATTCATTCATTTTCTAGGGTATGAGGTAGTCATACAAATGCACCTCTAGCTCTAATGGTGGGGATTGTACATGATGGGCAGCTCCAGCTGCTGTCTCTGAAATGCTTCCCTGTCTACATTGTGACCGTGCATCTCATGGCTATTCCCTGATGATGACTGTGGATGGCAGGGGCACTAAAGCAGATCTGTTCCTGGAACATTTAGGACAGCTCAGATGGGTGGTTTAGGATCAAGAACAACTCAATGACCTTGTTGAACTTTGTGAGGGCTGTGCTACAGTGTCAGGCTCTGCTACAGTGTCAGGCTCTGTCACCCAACCTTCTCACCTGCCCCCTCTCCTTCACAATGCTCATACCTGAATGACAATCTGATGGCTCTCCCTGACTCCCCTTTCTTCCTTATTGGCATTTTCCCTAAGAAATCTCTCACACTTCTAATTCTGCTTGGTGTCTACTTCTTGGAGGACCCAGTCTAACATAGAGTGGAATAGACTTGAGCATGTCTGAAGAGTATGAGCAGAGGGGGAAGAAAAATATTTGATTCCCCATTGTCTTTCCTATAGATTCCTTTCCAGACTTCCTAGTTTTTGTCTCTATGCCAGCCACAACTCTTGCTACTTCATCACAACTTTATTCTCAATATCTTCATTCTCTCTATGGGATCCCTGACCTTGTCCCAACTCTGAACTTTCCATCTAGCTTTCAACCTAAGAAAAACAAAGTCATCTAATTGGTGGACTCCAAGGTAGGCAGCATCATACCCTCCCATGGTTTTGCTTCTATTGGGGAAATGTTGCTCATTTCTGAGGGCCTTTATAATGACATATTGGAAGGGTCCTTTTTATTGCCATAGAATTTTAAAGGGCAAAGCTCAGGAAATAGGTGTTAGGGTACCACAAATTCTAAAGGAGAAGTACCAGACACAATTCTGCAAGACTTACTAGAAATGGAATGACTTTCTAGGGTGCCAGGGTGGCTCAGTCAGTTAAGCGTCTGACTCTTGGTTTCAGCTCAGGTTGTGATCTCAGGATCATGGTCTCAGTATCGTGGGATTGAGCTCTGTGTTGGGCTCTTTGCTCAGTGGGGAGTCTGCTTCTCTCCCTCTCTCTCCCTATGCCCCTAAACCCTTCTCTAAAATAAATAAACAAACAAATAAATAAATAAGTAAATCTTTTATTAAAAAATGAAATGACCTTCATTTCACCACCAAGCCAGGCTATAAAAACAAAAGACAACAGTTACTAGTGGGAAGAAATTCAAAGGGGTAGAGTTCTGAAGTCCCTGCTCTGCCCACCCCTACACACCTTAGGCAGATAAAGGCATTCTCCAAGATAAAACCGCCATATAGATTAGAAATGCAGGAGTGGTGTGTTACTTATCCCACTCCTTGGTTGGATACAAAACCCCACAGACCCATCCTGGTGCCACTAGAGGAGCAGATGGTGACAAAGTCCAGGAAGAAATGGATACCTATCCTCAGAGTTTGAGAGTTTGAGAGAGCTTTGCCTCATCAATGATGAAGCATGATAACAACTTCATCAATGATGAGGATGATAAAAAGCCTGCACTCCCATCACAGATACAGCAAAAGGGGCAAGTAGATACCACAGAAGATATGGACCATCTTGAAGTTTCCTGGTCCAAGAGGGCTACTCCCTTGAATGAGGACCCTGACACTGAGAGGCTCTAAGTTTAACAAGCAGAGCAGGAATTGGAGGGGGAGTCATTAAATGACATGAAATGCACGTATTCTTTCAGGATCTCTAAGGAGTCCACAAATGTACCCGATGAGAACCCCTGCCCCACAAAGGGCATAGGCAGGTAAGGAAAAGGATGAACAGCTCCAGGCAAGTAGAAGGATTGCAGTACCTCTCCCCTAACCTCCTTTTCCCTGTCCTGACACCAGAAGACTCAGAGCAGGGATGGAGAACTGGAATAGACCAGCAAGGAGGAGTGGGAGAGCAAAACATTCCTGCTCTCCACCTGCAGGTCTCCAAGGTTCAGGTCAGACATGACCAGGGGAGAAGAAAACCTTTAAATGAGATGAAACATTGAAGTTCTAACATAGACTAGGATGCATGGTTTACCACCTAATAATGGATCTTCATGAACAATATGAAGCTGTTTTTGTAAGAAAATGACGGGAAAATTGTAGGATCTGCCCTAAATGTCACAAAGAAGAAGGGAAGGGAGATCTTATAGAGTGTGCTGGAGGCAAAGGTTGAAAGAGAAATAAAGCCATTTCTTATTTCTATCTCATTAAATTTAGCCCATTTAATAAGTTGTCTACATATATTTTGAGATGTCTTTATATAAAAAAGCAGCAATTAAAAGGACCACCTTAACCAAGTTCATTGTAGTTGGACCCTTTTGAGGGAGCCCTATGTCTTATTCCTAAATCATGTCATTCTTTAGGGAAAAAGATCTTCTAGTACTGGGGCTTCCTCCTATTTTGTGGACAATCTAACTGTGTGACCCTCATAGATCACTGTAACCTCGAAGACCATGGGGCTCAAACAGGGTAATAGGCAGATTCCCTCTTCTTTTAATCTCAAGAAGCATTCTTTGTGACTTGTTTTTGATACTGCAAAACCAACCATATTCATTCTGATCTGGCCAAAGCTGTGTATATTCAGGAATATGAAACGCATACTCTTCTATTTAATTATCACATATAATTTTAAATATTAACTAGTTACAATAAATTAATGGTTGCTTGGCAACCAAAGAGCTGAGATTTTGAAAGGAAGTACTCTATTACTGTTCAAATAAGAACAGCAAGATTTGTGTAAACATCCTGAGTTCTGTTGAGTTCTATATGATGGAGCCAAAACCTGGGACAGACAAAGGGGAAAACAAGGGAACACTCACATTTTATAGCTTAGTTAATTTTAGGAGAGTAGAGAGGAAGTAAATTGCATCTCATCTCCTAGCTTGGGGTAGAACTGCCCAATTTGAGAACAAGTACTAATTAGCTGAAAGTAAAGCTCAGCTGTGACTTGGCTAAAAATGGGATCTCTTGCAAAAATGTACTGTAAAACTGAGTGCGGTGAATCTGATTCACTTTGCATGTGAAAACTGGACTCATACTGACAAAAGAACATGTGGGAAAAGAGTTTTAGAGCATTTTCAAAACTTTAAGTCATTTGGTTGGAGAAATGACCAGCTAGCTTGCCCATAATATATCCCAAAATAAAATCCAAACTAGAATTTTTGGCTGAGACTCTTGATGAGGGTGTCTCCAGATAACATTAACTTGCTTGGCTAAGGGTTGATCTCATAACCAAGAAAAGGATCTGGGAATAAGAACAACGTTTTTTAGTAAAAGAAAGAAATGGGAAACAGACTCTGGATAATTTGGAAGCTTTTCAAGAGGGTTTTGGAAATCCATACAAGCTCTGGAGAAAATTTAAGCAATCATTTTAAAGCTTACATTAGTTGTCACTCAAAACTATTCAAATGGCTGAATAGTGAATTAACACATATTTTATTTTGAAAATCTTCTATACTTAACTTTTGACTGAATTGTAAATTCTATTGGAGGAAGCAAGGTAGTTTTGATTATGATGTTTAAATTAATTAACCTCTTGTGACTCTGCATTAGCCATACAAATAAAACTTCCTATAATGTTGGAGGCTTAATAAATTGATGTTAACATTTGGTCATCATGCACATGGGTAATATACTCTGGAAAGACATAGAAGATGCTGGCAAAAAAGACGTGCCTTAAGGAGGGAGAACTGGATGGCTGGGGAGGGAGAGAGACTGCTTTTCACTTGCTTTTTGTTTACATTTGATTTTTACTTGCTCTTGCAATTCTTTATACCATATGGATTTATTAATCATTCAGCAAAGAAATACAGTTTAAAATAAACATTAAAATTAAATTTTAAATGCATGTAGTTCAAAGAAAAACAATATGATGTAGTGGGAAGAACGGGATCTGGGATTATAGTCCTAAATTTGAATTCCATCTTGGCCTTTGGGTACTTAGGACAGCATGGGCAAGTTATTCAGCATCTCTGCCTCTCCTTTTTTCTTAGCCTTAACCTGGGGCAGAAAACTTCATTTACATGGTGGCAGTGAAGATGAGGCAGCGAAGTCCCCATGACAGATCTGCTTCATGCCGTGGACTTTACAGACTGCT